TAATCTCACTATATCATGTAATCTTACAGTATGCTTGGTGTGAGAGTCATGTTTCTCCTATGAATTCAGTTATATATTTTCCTGTCATGTTAAACCATATGTATTTTTCACTATATAAATTTGTCATGAAAGAGAAGAATTACGTGTAAAATACTAATTCCAGAAATAGCAACATGTGGTTAATCAAATACTTGTATATCATAAAATATGCTTGGTTGGATCCACAATGAAACCTGTTTATGAATAAAGACTGTCGAGATTTCTAATATTCTTGTGTGCGGTGTTACAACCCACATGCATCTCCTCTTAGAAGGTTTCTCCTCCTCACACAGAATGTTTCATATTAACTGCATTGAAATAGCAATGTTTGTTTCTTTGTTTGGTTCCAGGTTTCAAGCTGGAATATTGTCATTATTAGAGCAGTGAAAAATCGAGTGGGGTTGAAAAGCATGGATAAAAGACTTACTTTGTCAAATTTTAACTGTTCCATGACTATAGCACAATCAACAAGCTCAGTGTGCTAAAAAGCTTGGAGTAAAAAAATAATTGTGACTACAATGGGATTTCTCACTCCACGTGATGTGGGTAGCCTCCACAGAGGGCAGCATGCAGTTGGTTATCTTGCCAACAAAGCTGGAGGTATGCAATCTATCGCCTGTAGCTCCTCATCAAATAACACTGTGTCTATGCTCGTCTTAATTCGCTCTCGCAAAAATAGAACACCGACGTGCAGCAGAAGGGGAAAAAAAAGAGAGGACTGACATTTCTGGGGATCATTTGTTTTTATATTATTATTTTTAGAAAGTTTTCACAGGCAGTATTTATCAGTATCAGTCACCAGTTCATCTTAACGCAAAGCTATGCAATGTGCTTTCAAGTCTTCATTCGAAAGGATGAAATTAAACCCGTGCATGTAGTCCTACAGCAAAATATGGTGGGTAATGCTCACATTTGTCCACATAATTGGTCGTCACCACTACTATAAATACATGCACAGTGATAAAGATTTTTTTAACTGCTTATCGTCATGGTAACGCAGCTACCTCTAAGTGGCGAGCATTATTTTTCTTTTATTTAAAAAGTTGCTCTGCCAGCTCTGCATTTCTGGTCACTGAGGATGGGGATTCAGTTTATGAGCAATCTATTTTTCAGAGAACCTTACCAAAGTGGAACCAGAAACCCACCACAGATAATTCAGATAAGATCACCTTCCAAGACAGGTTACCAGTGATGAAGGTAGTTTATTTTCACTGGATGAGCCATAATTGATCTCTTAGATCAATGGCAGGAGAATATACTATCATAATGCCAGAGGTTTATCAGAATCAGAAATACTTTAATAATCCCAGAGGGACATAATTATGTTATTGTTGCTAATAATTACGTAACTTTTTGTCAAAAATTCTCCCAGAAATTGTAAATATCAAATTTACATTTTTTTCATATTTGGCCGACAAAAAGGAATGACTATTGAATGTGTACTGATCGCTCCATGTTTCTGCTATTTTAAGGTGTCGAAGAGATAATCCTTATATTTCAAATAAATGTTGAAATGGTAAATCATGCAAAGGGAATACAGAAAAGTGTGTGTGCATGCATGTGTTTCCTTTAACAGATCTCTGTGAATGAGACTTGTCACCTCTGGATTTGGTCAGAAACAATGAAAAGAAGAGAAGTCATGCAGTCATCTCAATATGTTCACTCAATTTTGGTCACCTTATAAAAGCCTGGAAGGGGTTTTTGACCATATAAAGCACAAAATAACATTCCCAGTCACACAGACACACGCAAAAGGGGTATTACACACACATCTGCCCGGTAACAACTGTACACCTGTGAAGCCACTAACAGCGTCCAACATTGACCGACTGGTTGCAGATGGATGCTGGGGAACTCTTGTCATGTTTTGAATTGTAAGACATTGATTGATCTGGCTGAAGAGGAATTGTTAAGTTTCTATTATGGATATGAGTACAAATATATTACATTTTCTGAAGGAAAATCGTCCGCTGACATTTTTATTTTGTTCATTAAAATAAAGTCCCAGCTCCTCAGACAGACTATTTAAATTTGATTGTGACAGAAAAATGGTAACTTATTTTGTCATTTCATTCATATTCCATGAAAAGGAAGTCAA